AGAATAATGGGAATGATCTTATCAATGCATTCGTACATGCATCTGCTCTAAACTTTAATGCCAAGCTTATCACTGAGGATTTCAATTGTCCTGGGATTGACTGGAGTACCGGTTGTTGTCAGTCATGTAATAATGAGTTCTCGGCAACCATTAACATGCACTGTTGGTCACAGTGGGTTCGTACCCCAACTAGAGGCGATAGTATACTCGATATAATATTTAGTAGAGATGTCATCCCACTATCTGTAAAACTATACAGTGAATTTAAAATCAGTGAATTTAAGAGAGCAGTTTGTGCTCTCCCTATCTATCCCTCTTATAATTGACACATTCATAAAACCTCCCAATATCGAGACTATAAGCGAGATGACTGAGACCTCCTGCATTCACTGATTAAACTTTCAGACTGGGATAACTTTTTTTCATGTAATAGTCTCATGGATGCTATTCTATCTGATCGTTAACTCTTGTTTAGATTCCTGTGTACCTCTTAAAACGTACAGGTTTAGTAAACCTCATAAATTATATATACCAGCTAAATATCGTAATAAACCAAGACACCTACAGAAACGTTATTTCAAGTCAAGCGACTTCACGGCAGTAGCACAAATAACAATAATTTTTAATCGAATTAAAGAGAAACATAGGTTCAAAGCCATTAATGAGAAGCTGTTAGCACTTAATACTAACTCAAAGGTACAAAACTTAACTCTCCTTTTCAATAAACGCTCTAAAGCAACTCAAAATGTTGATATATCATGCATCCAGCATAACAGCACTTTTATATACGACTCTTAAACTATAGCAGAACTTTCCAGTGATATTTCTGCAAATGGTGTAGGAATCATAAGTGGCTCTGCTTCAAGAGTTATGTGCGTGAGTAGCAACTCAATAAAATCTATCTCCTTCACATACATTAAGATTATTAAGGCTACAAATACCCTTAAGCTTTCGAGAGGTCATGGAGCAGACGAGATTTCAATCTTTCTCTATAAATATGGTGGTACAGATATTCCACTTCTTCTTCTTCTTCTTCTTAAGTTGCTTACTCTCTCTATAGAAACCGGTTCTTACCCTTACTGTTGGAAAACCGCGTACATAATACCACGTTACAAATCTGGAGATAAGACTGACATGAACAACTACCGGCCGATAAATATTACTCCAGTTATCTCTAGCATTATGGAAAAAATTATAAGTGATGAACTTTCCGACTATTTACCCGCTGGAGAATTTATCAATGATACTCAACATGGATTCCTTAAAAATCGATCTTGCATGACGTGCCGTTTTGACTTCTTTAATTTAGTCTATTCTCTACGTAGACAAGGATATCTAGTCTTAGTGCTATATCTGGACATTTCTAAAGCCTTCGACATGGTTAGCCGCCAATTTCTTTTAGGTGAACTCGCATCTTATGTCGTTAAAAATCCTTTGCTAGCTTGGTTTGATTCCTCTCTCAGCAATCGACATCAACTAGTTAAAATTAACTCCTCATTGTCTAACGCTGTCCCTATTAGGAATGGTGTAATACAAGGTAGTGTCTTGAGCCCTTTGCTATTTTTGGTGTTTATCAATGATATTTGTGAAAGTTTCTGTGTGAGTAAGCCCCTTCTATATGCAGATGATCTTAAAGTAGTCTATTCATTTTCTCCACATGAACTGAACAATGTGCAAAATTGCATCAGCATGGAGCTTAACAGGGTAGCATACTGGTGCTTAAAATGGCAACTGGAGCTTAATGCGGCTAAATGTAGATGTATATGCTTCGGTGATACATCAATCAACATAGATCTTACCACAAATAGAGAAGTGTTACCTATGTTACATACAGTAGTAGACTTAGGACTTAGATACTCCCAAGACTTGTCATATAAAGAACAGATATTGAAACAGACCTCTAAGTCTCAACGTCTAGTAGGTCACATAACTCGAAACCTTTATAACAATGAGTCACGTATTTTAATGTACAAAGTTTGTGTTCGACCACCTCCAGAATATTGCACGTTCATTCTTAGCAGTGCACGCATATAGGATAAATTAAGGCTGGAATCAGTACAGAGACGATTTACACTTCGTATTCTTGCAGCTGATTGTACCTTCACTTATAATTCTAGATGTAATAAACTTGGGCTAGACCCTTTATGGAAGAGGAAACTCAAACTAAATCTTATAATCTTTTTCGTCAAACTACTTCATAAACTATCGTTTACATCCAATCACGTGATCCAATATACAGAAACCTCTATGAAATCCGTAATTCCTTGGCACTAGTGAAACAAACTCATTCTAAATAATCTCTTTATATGAATTACTTTACCTGTAAATTTTCTAGACTCTGGAATAACCTACCACAATCTATTCGTACGATGAAATCACTCCCATTATTTGTTCTCTGCATCGATGCATACTGCTCCTCTGAAAATGCGTTGAACTTTCTAGCACCTGTGAATGTATCTCATTCCAGAAGCGATATTATAGGAACTTTAAATATTTAGACATCTTTATTAGTGAATTCCCTTAGCAAAACCACCCACTTGCTGTCAATATGTTAACACCTCCCCTAGCAACTTTAACTAATTTGAATAACATAAACAGTATATCACTGTGTCACTTGACACACGCATTTTGGTAGACTTGATTGATATGTTTTGGTAATTACTGCTTTGTTGTTCCGTGCTCTGTGTTTTCGTTTTAATTTCTCTAGTTGTAGATGATGATGGAAATGTCCAGCTCCGTTCTACTTATCTGACGTTTTCGAAGTTGATCATGGTAGAGAAATGTTCATGGATCTCATGCTAGGACGGAATTGATGTTCAATATTTCTTGATTTTCAATTATTATTTATGGAAATCATTTGCGGATATGAACTACGATTGTCGAAATGGGAAACCGATTTTTTTGAAGAAATCACGTTTTTCAATGTTAGTTGGATATGTATTTGTAATAGACATAGCTATTTTATCAGTTTGTACAATAGTATTTCAATATTGATGATACAACAATGAATCGGTTGGTGGTTTCATATCTTCAAGTATCTGTCTTTGTATGGATCGATCGTGTACAGACCAAATTAGGTCACTTCAGATCATCGTCGAACAATTATCTGAATTGAACTCGTCACTATACATCAACATCCATAGAAAAGCAAGAGCCCCATTCCTACAATTGAAAAGCATGTGGAACTCAAAACAATTTTCAAATAATATCAATGTCAGAATCTTCACTACTAACGTCATGACAGTTCTATTGTACGGAGCTGAAACGTGGAGAATAACTATAACCACCATGAAGAAGGTACATGTATTTATGAATAGTTATCTATGCGAGATATTCAACATCCATTGGCCGGATACCATCAGCAACAACATTCTGTGAGAGAGGACAAACCAGCTTCCATCTGAATGCGAAATGAGGAAAAGACGTTGGAAGTGGATAGAACACACTTTGAGAAAATCACCATATCGCATCACGAGGCAGGTCCCAACTCGGAATGCTGAAGGGAAGCGGAATAGATGAAGGCCAAAGGACACAAAGTGCCGAGGATAGGAGGCAGACATTCGAAAATGAATAACAACAGAAATAAATGGAAAGGATTGATCAGGACAGAGTTGGACGGAGAATGCTAACGGGCGGCCTATGCTCCTCCACGAGGAGTAATAGGCATTAGTAAGTAAGTAACTTATGTGGTTAAATAATAAGTTCTTTTTGTTCAGTTTTCAATCTGAAATATGTTTATCAAGATAAAATTAAAATGATATCCATCACACAGTTTAATCTTGTTACGAGGTCGATGCCCCTTCTGACAACCAGAGCGACCATTTATTTAGGTACATGGAATTTTCACACAATGTGAGACGTCAGGAGAGCCTTCCAAATTGCTGCAGAAATGAGAAGATACAACCTTGAGGTACTTGGGATCAGTGAAACACATTGAACGCAAGTTGGACAACAACGACTAACTTCAGGAGAGCTCCTGTTATACTCCGGCCATGAAGAAGAAAATGCCCCACATACACAGGGAGTTGCATTGATGCTGTCCAAACAAGCACAAAATGCACTCTTCTCTGAATACCGGGAAAAGTCTTTAACAGGGTATTATTAAACAGAATGAAGGACTCCGTAGACTCCCAACTCCGAGACCAACAGGTAGGATTCCGTAGGGATAGATCGTGTAGAGACTAAACCGTAACTCTACGGATCATCGTGAAACAATCAATTGAATGGAATTCATCACTCTACATCAGCTTCATTGACTACGAGAAAGCATTCGATGATGTGGACAGGACAACACTATGGAAACTTCTTCGATACTATGGCGTGCCTCAGAAGATAGTTAAAATCATAAGGAATTCATACGATGGATTAAACTGCAAAATTGTGCATGGAGGACAATTGACAGACTCGTTCGAAGTAAAGACCAGTGTCAAGCAATTTTGTTTACTCTCAGCCTTTCTCTTTCTCCTGGTAATCGACTGGATCATGATGACATCAACATCCTAGCTCTCCACTGAGCTAGGATACAGCTGGACGATCTAGACTCCACAAATGATCTGGCTCTTCTTTCGCAATCGCGACAACAAATGCAGAAGAAGACGACCAGTGTAGCAGCAGCCTCAGCAGCAGTAGGTCTCAATATGCACAAAGGGAAAAGCAGGATTCTCCGATACAACACAGAATGCACCAATCCAATCACAATTGACGGAGAAGATTTGGAAGATGTAAAAACCTTTACATATTTCGGCAGCATCATTGGTGAACACAGTGGATCCGATGAAGACGAGAAGGCGACGACCGGTAAAGCAAGAGCAACATTTTTACAAATGAACAAAATCTGGATCTGAAAACAACCGTCAACGCACACCAAGGGATAGGACACACATTGAGGAAAGCACCCAACTGCGTCACGAGACAAACCCTCACATGGAATCCTCAAGGCCGACTGAAGAGAAGAGGAAGAGCGAAGAACATATTACGCCGGGAAATGGAGTTAGACATGTGAAAAATGAACAAGAATTGGATGGAATCAGAAAAGAATGGCCAGGACATAGTGGGTTGGAGAATGCAGGTCGGCGGCCTATGCTCCATTAGGAGTAACAGGCGCACGTAAGTAAGTAAGTCCAAGCCATGTTATATCAATAGTGTATATTCCATTGTAGTGTGGTTTTCACATCTCCAACTATGCTCAACAGATATTGTGACGAAATGTCACAAGTAGAATTTCAAAGAAAAATACACCTATCGTTTTACTTCTAAAGCTCAATCAATCCACAATGCTCTCAGTGTTATAGTCAACCAATGACTTTCCATCATTAAATCATAATGCAACTCTCAATAACCACAACTAGATCGATTTATCATTGCTATTACACCTCCACAATAAACACTCTGAAGAGATGACAACCATCTATCTTGAAATCTAATCAATACCTTATGATAATAATAATAATGATAATCTCCTTTCGATCAAGTACCTTGTATTCGTTGTATGAACACTTCGGATCTGATTGACTGATATACTCTAGTTGAAATATCCTATCGATTGTGTTAAAGAGAATAAACGTTTCTCATGTTTTGTTTGTTTTCTTTCGAAATACCTCCCAGTAACAAGTTGATTTAAACAAAGAAAATAATGAAGAAATTCATTATTCAGTTGATAAGAATAGTGTATAATGGTGTACAAATAAGTAAGATCAAATGGCAATAGAATGAGTAATGAATAGTCAATGATTCGGTTGTTTGATTGACATTAGGTTCCATTGAATATCTTCTTAACATTTGGTCTCAATAAGACAATTATGCAGATAGAAAATTGTCACCTTCAAATTTACGTATTCTCATAATTGACAATATCAAGTAGAGCGCTTGAATAATCCCGAATGTGAAGCATAGATACATGATTATATTTAGATAAGTTTGTGTATATTCAATTATCGCTGATACACATCCCTTTGATGAAATGATGAGAAAAAGTGAATGAAGAATTACAATGAAATGTTTATCATTCATTCAATAAATCTACATGGATAATTGAAATGTGAAGCGTAGTGAAAGTGATTAGACTGTGATGTTGTTGTGAATGAGAATAAGACTGAGAACAATGCAGAACTGTGTTGTCACAGCCAACAATCTATTGTGGTGTCGGTAGAGCAGTTCAGTGATTTTGAGTTAATGGTTTTGATTTTACCACTAGTCACTTACTAATATGATTGAGTTATAGTGTGGTGATGAGAGGAACAGAAGTGTCAGTAATGACCACAATTTCAATGGATTTAATGTCATTGAAAAATTCCGATTATATTACAACACAATTGTATGAATAAAGAATATTCTTTTCAATAATTTCTCATGGGGTTCTACAATTATGTCATATCCAAATTAATAATCCATAAATTTGGCCAGGTTTAAGTCAGAATACATCATCATTTAGAAATTGTAATATGTGAATCAAGAATTGTTGTTTGTGATACAAAATCAAATATGATCGTTAATGTTGTTGCTGACTAATATGAAGTTGTGAACATGAATCAGTTTATAAGCGAATATTCACATGGGAGAAGGAAAGTAGGGGTAGAACGCCTTACCCGAACAAGTAGTATCAGCCCCATCAGTGAATACTTTCAAGGAGAAGCTGGACCTTCACTGGAAAGCAGTGTGTCAGGATTAATACGGGTTCATTAACCTACTATCCTTATTACTGAAGACTGAAGAACAGGCCTAATAGATGTTCTATTTACAAGGAGGAAAGACGGTTCGCTAAGAAGAAACATAAACAGGGAAATTACCTCGACGAATCAATATACAAACTTTCTTAGTATCGTTCCTCTGCAACACAAAAGGAACTTATTAAGACACTTCATCATAGAATCAAGAATATATGCTCTTCGGCTACGACTGATGATGAAACAAAGGCATTATACAAAACCCTGAAGGAAAATGACTATCTTGAGAAATTGACTAATAGAAAACATAACCAATAGACGACAGCATAGAAAATGCCTAACTGTAAATTTAAATCCTCCGTATATGCGCTTACAATTCAGAGGCGATGCACCGAGTGAAATGGTAAGACTGAAGTTAAGCAGATCAATTCAAAAGACTTCTAATTCAGGTAAACTACAAGTAATATTTTCCACACGTCCAATAATCACTCTGAGATTGAAAGATAATTTGCCTAGATTAGCCACCTCTTTCTGTATCCATCAATTCAACTACTCCTGTGGAGCAATTTATATTGGCAGATGTTCTAGGAATTTGTACATTCGGCCTCGTGAGTATCTCCACGTGTGCATAAGCAAAGGTGTAGTCAAAACGGTTAACAGCTTCATTTAAGACCATGAAGCCAACATGAAGCAATCTTTCGCGATAATATATCATGTTAACAGTAATTTACATAATTCCGTCAGACTGAGAATCCTACAGACGGCTGAAGCAATTGCTATTCGTATCGAAAAGCCAGAGCAATGCATCCAAAAGTAATAACATTGTCAAACTGATTAATATATGCCTTATTTTGGCCTTTGTAAAATATTATAATCATGAACTTATAACTGTAGAGTCTGATGATGAAGTTATTGTAAGCGATTGTTCTCTCAAATATTCTTCAATTTCAAAAGTAATATTTTCAACCCAGGACCTATCAATCTCGCGAGCGAGCGCTTGATCAATAGACATCTGAGCCGGCCGGCATTCAACGGTGTTAATGTCTAACCAATCCACTATTGAGATTACTAAAATCTCAACAAAAAATCTTCTGAAATTATTTTTTACACAATTTCATTTCACTTATAAAGTGATTCATATTAGTCAGCCCCAACATTAACGATAATATTTGATTTTGTATAACAAACAGCGATTCTTAATTCACATACTGCAATTCACAAATGATTAAGTTAATTGGTTTAAATTTGCAAAATATTCACTTACTCTGGGAAATTCGAGTTTACTGTACATACATGAAACAGGTGTTTTCAGTACTCTTTCAATAACTGGATAGTCTTTGTACGATGACGCTCCACAGCAGAAAAACTATAGACAACAGATCATCAGAGTCTTCTATTTGATTACAAATTACACTCTTTTGTAATTGATCAAACTCCATCCGATAATCAACTCGTTTATCATATTTTTTAACAGTAGAACTTAGTGAGTTGTCAGCTAACTGAGGGAACTGTAAATATATGAAGATCAATGTGTCACGATACATTAGGTTCAGTTTATATCAAACAAACCCTGTCTTCCGTTAAAGCTACTTTAAATGACATACCGATCCACATACAAGTCATGATAAACAAAACGAAAATGTTCTAAACAGAGGTATGAGTGAAATATATTCGTCCATATTGCACATATCACTTACCATATATATGATCACTTTCTGTTTCTTCGAGTGTCCATAAATGCCAACAAATGATCCTAGAACACCGAGACCACCTGAAATACTGACAACCAGGAAGATCTCTGGTTTCGCATTTTGTAGTATAGTTCTGAATTGATTTAATGTGATTTGTGGTTGAATTCCGAGTGCTAACAGAACAACACCGAATACCTGGATTGTATAAGTAAGATGAAATGAACCACCATATGAGGCGAACACATGTAATGATACTTACTACAAAACTACAATTGCACAGGATGAATACTTTAGTCCAAGATTCACTTGACAATAACATTTCAATATTGTTCACTGAGATGATGATATTGTGTATGCTGTATGTACTGGTAATAAATGTGAGTCAATGTATCTTTCACTTTCAATGTGAATTTTCACAGAATATCAAGTGAAATAGTAAAATTAATTGGGATTCGTCTGAATTAATTTATTCATTGTACTGTGCATTTCTAATAGAAATTCATGCACAACACAAAGTTAACTTACTTAATTCAGAAGCACTAATGAATCACATCATCAACATTATCATTGTCACTATGGTTCGGCATCATTTTATTATCAAATTCAAAAGTATACAACTTGTCATTATAAGTAGGTAAAATTGTGTTGTATGTATGTTTATGCATTTGTTAGTGGTAATTGTGATGTAGTGAACGAGAACACAAGTGTATTTGAGAAGAAAATTACAGAATATCTTTTGAAAATATCTGATAACCATTACGTATATACTGCATTTGCAAAATATCAATTCATTGTCTCAAACTTGACTGTTCCTTCTGCAAATGTCAATCAGTCGTCTCAGAATTCATTATGCTTCTGGTTACACACTAATCATTCTCTGTTTACACCCCCTTCTGTTTGATCTTCTCAATCTCCTGTTTCAGGTATTTCACTTTCGTTTGATAATACATACTACTCACATCTGTCAACATCACTAATTCACACCTGTTATAGTCACACTTACATTCATATAATCAGGTCATGGTCATACAGAGATGACATGAACATTATGAGTGGTTGCATACTCAGTATGTCCAACAGTATTTCCTCAATTATGACAGGTAACTGTTCATTCAATATCATGAGGACATACTTCAAAATAATAAAGACAGTCGATTGACCAAAATAACGTTGAAGAACACAAGCTGTGAATGTACGTAACAATTATTTTGGATATCTGTAATTGTGGCAGTTCAGTTGAGTGAGAGTAAACAGGATGAGATTCATGGGGACTAAGTGTATTTCATGAACGATGATCAATGTAATATAGAAATGCTGAGAAAGGCAAATTCAATATCGACTTAATCAGCGTATTATAGTGAATATCAATGATTGTAGAGATTAAATGAAATTATGAAATATGTGAATGATGCCATACGTATTCACAGTAATATTTGCACTAACCATCTCTACAATCCCCTCAAACAGTTACGTAAACTAATGAAGTTTTTATTATCAATCCAAATAACGCAAACGATTCCGTTATTGCAAGAACACCGTGTATGAATAAATAACTATGGAACATATTCACAACTAATCCTTCCAAGTATCTGTGGAAGCCAAGTCCTGAGAAATGCTGAACATGTTATGTACGATAAAACTTAATACAAATAGTTCCCTTTATCATTTTGAAAAGAGCAAGAACAAACATTCTAGCAGAATAGCATGAATTCATTTTGATTTCGTCTGGTTCTCGTCAGCTGCTTACAACCTGTGATATTTAAAATCATAATTAATGGATTGAAATTACTTACATAAAAGAGTTTGATTGGAAGTTATATTGAAGACATATTCGTATAGTATAGTAACGGTGTAAATAAATTTAATAGACTGAATATTGTAAATATATACCTTATGTGATGAAAGAACTTTGTGACAACAGTTCAAACGGTTAGGAACAAATAAACCTTGATAGGAATAAAATGAGTAGAGTTTAGTTGATAAAATAAGATAGTTGGGATAAAACTCAATGGTGTAATAAATGCAAGAAAGAGTTTAAGGAAAAAGAAAAAAAATTATTAAGATATAACGAAGGAATGTAAATCACCAAGGCAAGGAAAGATTAATAACCATCTCCTTTTGAACACATAAATTAAGATTCTGGCGTCTGATAGCAACTGCCACAGCGAAATTCAGAAGACTGGAGTTGGGCTGTTTACTAATCACCTTGAATGATTGCAGGGTATCGACTTGATGTCCTGTATCAAGATGTTTGGTGACTGCACTATTTAGAGTCTTTCTTTCTCTTGTTCTGAGGCTTTTTGGAACATGTTCAAAAGAAATCTGAGATTTCCCTCCTTTCTGTTCGGCCAATATAGCTGCTTTGACAGGTACACGTAAATTCATAAATACGATTGGCGGTAACATGAAAAGGATGCTCATCAACCTTTGATTGAGTTATTGAGCATGTTGTTTTATACAGAATTTGAAGTTTGGCCGCCAGATAAGTTCTGGCTAGAGCAGTATTCAGTCTCTGTTGATTGTGTTTGCAACCTCATCACCTTTGAAGTTAAGACTTATAGTTATTGGTTCTTTTTACTGACAGTAAAGATGATGAAAATGAAGTAATACTGAGTGTTAAACGTTTGGTCGGATTCAAAGACAGCCTTGTTGGCAGTTTACTGAGGGAAGTATGAACCGTCCTTTGAAACATATATCAAGAATAAAATGGTCGATCGAAGAAAAATGTTAAGGTGATTTCATTCTCAATGGTTGTAGATTATTTTGTTAGATTCCCTTTTGATAACTCGGATAATGATACGACTAAAGCTATAGAGAGAAGCATTAAAGTGTTTTAAAGATATTCAGGAGAGGAATTGAATTAATAATCAAACATATGATGACTCGAGATCTCGAGGGTACGGATTAACGTACTTAAATGGACTACCATAACTACACAAACCCGAGTCTTCTGTCAGGAATATCCTATCAACGATCAATTATCCATCTCTCAAACTCGTAGGATGTTTAGTGGATCAATTAGAACCCATTCGCTTTAAATCATGTGTTCATAGTTTGAAAGACGCTTCCAAGTTTACTCAAATGCTAGAGAATTTTAACAGCTTTGATCGTTTCATGGTATTATCTGATATATCATCGCTATTACAGCAACCACTTAAAAGAAACAATACAAATTGTCACCATTTTGAAATACTTCCGTTACCGAAAGGCCAATTCAAGGAACTTCCACTTTTATGCACCATAGACGTTCAGTTTCAACTCAACAATATCGTATACAGTCAATTTAATGGAGTAGTCATAGGCGGTCTACTGAGTCGGATCCTAATAGTTATCTCCGTGGCAAACATAGAACAAATAGTAATGTGTATCCTCGTCAATATTCTGTCTCTACATGTTCATCTAATTTATTTAGGACATTTGCCGATATAAAGTATATAAACTTATTTTGTTTTACTGATCAATACTATCGGCCTATGTTCCATTGGGAGTAACAGGCGTAAGTAAACAAGCAAGACCAAAACTATGGTTTTCAGTTGTAAACGGCCGAGTGGAATCCACGAAATAACTGAATTCATGTTGTTCTGCTACGATGTTTGTTCTATATATAATCAAGCTTATAAATGGTAGAAACTGTGTGAAAATTTTCAAAGTTGTATGAATGTAAACAAAAACTAAAACTTTTATTGCATATTTGGTAAGCGTAACAATGTTTATTGGGAATTAGTAATAAACGAGCAAAATAACTAAGATCATAAATTAACAAATTTAAGTTGTAGTTGCTAAGTGTGTGAAAAGTAACAGAAGTTCTATAGAGGTTGTTAATTGTTAGAACGCGTTTGTCCAACATCAGTTTAGAAAAAAAAAGATTATAGAAAAACCATGGAAATAAAAATATAACCTTAAGGATAAAGGTTAAGCGACTGGGAGAGACGGCTTTGGAAGACCAGAAGGTACATTGATTGTAGAGAGAAAAAAATAGAGAGAAATTGTACGGATAATTTTGACTTCTCTAAGACAGATCTGAAGGTTTCAGTTATTTGAGGAAGAGGAGATTCTGATGCACTTGGAAAATCTTTACTAACTTTGAGTGGGGGTGGATTTCAGACATAAATATTCATAAAGTCGTCCATTATTAGGTCGACATTAAATGGACGGCAATTATGGTTCCCTACCACCCATTTCGTTGAAGTTGTAGTGTGTGAAAAAAAAAGTAAGGATAGGACAAAAAACCCAAGCAGCTGCATCACCAGTTTCATATGGAACACTTACTATCTTTATAACATTGAGAATAAGATGTACACGACACAAAATGTGGTGAGCATTGGGATACACCTGCGTGATGGCAGCAGCTAATGCAGATGAATCATCTGTCACAATGCCTACCACCTGTCGACTGTTGGTTGACCGTTGGAAGAACGACAGGAATCGGGAAATCAAAGTCGATGTCCCGCGACTTATTAATCCAATACAAACGGGTATTGCCATAACATTCATATCAAGGGCAACGACCTGATATAAATAGATGTTCTCGTTATTCGTCTTGTATGTCCCGTCCAAACCAATAACATCAGAGGAACGATCCGCCAAAATCCTTTGATCACCAGTCGTGAAGAAAAAGTACGATAGACAGTTATCATCGTCTAATTCGTATTCGCATAGCCCACCCAAAGATGTTATGTGAGCTTTCAATTTTCCGTAATCACCTATTGGGGAAGATGGATTACTAGGTTACTCAACATCAAACGTTTTATATAATAAACCTGTAAGACTTAACTTTCCTCAACACTTTCCCATTGGCAAGATGGATTACTAGTTAC